ATATATGCGTATTATTTTAACTTGTATTTATTTAGGTGGTGGTAAATATTTAGAAACTATTATGAAGGGAAATCTAAAAGACTATACCCTAAACCTTATATTTACAAATCATCTCAATTTTATCTGTTTAATGTCTCCAAAAAAGATTGTATGTATAATTACTCCACGCCAGGCTGAGGGGCGGGTGAGAGCTCTCCCCACCCCAAGGGACCCAGCCCCGGCAGCCGACCTTCACTGCCCAACCATTGTCACGCTCCAGGCCGCTTTCCAGACACTCAGGCCAAGCCTCATGCATGAATGAAGTCCCATGGAACCCAGATAATGCGGCTGCAGGACACATTATAAAACACTTCCTACCCACTTATGCCTCTCGGAGAGCCCGGCAAACTACCGAGAGTATCCCGCCCTCACGGGCAGAGCCTGACAAGCTCCCCGTGGCATATTCGATATGCCAAATACAGTAACGACAGTAGGTCTCATTCCCCTGACCCTGAAAGTGCCTCCAATCGTTGGGAAAAGATGAGTAAGAAGAGGCTGCTAAAATCTCAGGGCTGGGAGGAATAGAGACGTTACTGGCGCCTGCTTGAATAATTCAACGATCAAGGGGATGACAGTGATACAGTGATATATAATTATTGAGCTATTCGAATGTGGACAAAAAGGAACCATCATAAATCTAAGCATTATCTCTGTGCTGTGCTATGAACTAATATTTTATACAGTCCATGATTGTCTTGTGAATGGCAACATCTTGGTTTTGCAATTCGTCTTACATTGCAGTTAAAAACAAAAACCACGTTTAAAAGATAAACTGTTTGGTTTGGGGGCTACACTCGACCATGCTCAGGAATTACTCCTGGCTCTACGTGACTTTCTTGGGAGACCATATGGGATGCTGGGGGTCAAACCTGGGCTGGTCACCTGCAAGGCGAATGCTCCACCTGCTGAAATATTTATTGCTCCAGCCCCCAAATATTTTGTTTTGAACATCTCCATTTTTGTGGGGGGAACTCTCTGCATTCCTCAGGGGATACCGGATAGTCTCCAAGGGCTCTGTGGTGCTGGGGACTACATTTGGGGTGTCAAATATATACATGGCTGGCATAGCAACCCTTTAAATATTCACTCCTGCTCCAGGTTTCATATATATATATATATAGACACACATATGTATGTATATATGTACATATATGTATATATGTATATATACTGTACTGTACTCTCCTCCTGTTGTTCATCAATTTGCTCGAGCAGGCACAAGTAACATCTCACAACAAATGGTAAGACTTGTTACTGTTTTTGGCATATCGAATATGACACAGGTAGCTTGCCAGGCTTTGCTGTGCGGGCGAGATACTCTCAGTAGCTTGCTGGGCTCTCCGAGAGGGGCGGAGGAATTGAACTTGGGTCGGCCATGTTGGCTGTGTGCAAGGCAAATGCCCTACCCGCTGTGCTATCGCTCCAGCCCATATATATATATACACACACATATATACATATATGTAAATATATATTAGGACACACCCAGCAGGACTCAGGTTTTACTCCTGGCTCAGTGCTCAGGGATCACTCCTGACGCTGAACCTCATGCCATGCCCGGTATCAAACCAGGGTCAATTGGGTGCAATGCAATCACATTAATTCCTGTACTATTTCTCCAGTCCCACTCTATTTATTTATTTATTTATTTATTTTTGGTTTGGGGGCCACAATTGGCTGTGCTCAGGGTTTACTCCTGGCTCTGCCCTCAGGGATCACTCCAGTTAGGTTCACCCCCAAGCCGGAAATCAAACGCTGGTCTGCTATGTGTAAAGCAAGTGCCCTACCCCCTGACTATGACTTTGGCCCCGACTTGACATTCTTATTATGGCTTTAGGGGCCATGCTTAGCAGTGCTCAGCAGCTTTTCCTGCCTCTGTGCTCAGGAGTGCCCCCTGGTGGCGCTCAGGGGACCATATGTGGTACCTTGGATTGCAGCCACATGCAAGTCAAGTAAGTGCCTTACCTGTGTTAACTCTCCAGCCCAGATTTTCTTTATTTAGTTTTGTTCTTTTTGCCACACTGGCTATGCTCGGGCCTTACTTCTGGCACTCAGGGATCACTCCTAGTGGGGCTCTGGGACCATGTGCAGTGGCAGGGGTGGAACCAGGGCTGGTCAGGTGCAAGGCAAACGCCTTACCTGCTAAACTACCTCTCCAGTCCTGTCACTGTCACTGTCCTCCCATTGTTCATCAATTTGCTTGAGCGGGCCCAGTAACATTGTGAGACTTGTTGCTGTGTTTGGCATATTGAATACGCCACGGGGAGCTTGCCAGGCTTTGCCGTGCGGGCGAGATATTCTCGGTAGCTTGCCGGGCTCTCCAAGAGGGGTGGAGGAATCGAACTCAGGTCGGCCACCTCTCCAGTTCAGATTTATTTATTTTTTTGCTTTTGAAATTTTTTTCTTTTTGGGTCACACCCAGCAATGCTCAGGGGTTATTCCTGGTTCTGCACTCAGGAATTACTCCTGGCGGTGCTTGGGGGACCATATGGGATGCCGGGGACCGAACCCAGGTCGGCCACGTGCAAGGCAAACGCCCTACCCACTGTGCTATCACTCTGGCCCGAAAAAATTATTTTTTTCAGAATTTTTTTCTTGTTGTTTTCTGTTTTCTCTTTATTTTTTTTAAATTTCTTTTCTCTTTTTTTCTGTTCCTTTTTTGGTCTCTGTCTTTGTCTCTCTCTTTCTCTCTCTGTCTTGTGGTTCAAATTTTAAATGATCTATAGTTGTGAGCAATAGCAAATCATGTTACATCTCCAGCCCACAAAATCAGCTACACAAAAACACGTGTTGTTATAAGAGTGAGGGGTTTAACCAACGTTCCAAAATGATATGGCTCGTAAGGCAACCAGAGAAAGGATGAAAATGAAATGATCACAAGAAAAGTATAAAAAACACGGTAATAATGGCGAATAACAACAACACCCTGAGAATCGGCCTAGAGAAGTCAGTCTGCCAAGGCCGGTGATTCAGAAAGGAGAATGTTGACACTTTCCCTGCGGGTGGGTTGCAGGGATATTGCTTTCCTGAAACATTAATATAAACACTATTGTTTTATATTTTTTAAAAATTTTTATTTTAGTAAAGCACTGTGATTTACAAAGTCACAGTTGAATTTTAGACAATGTTCTCACACTGATCCCCCACCAATGTCAACTTCCCTCTACCAATGTTCCCAAGATCCCACCCCTATACTCTCCCTCCCCCACTTCTTCCCCACCCCCCCCGCCAGACATCCTCACGATAGGCAGGCAATGTTTTATGTTAAGTTATTAAAGTGTGGGTCTCATGAGTTCAGCGTTGTTGCTCTGTAGTTTGGATATTTAGTTCTGTCATACCTTAAGACCACTGCTGTACCTAACCCTCTTGACCCCTGACCCCCCTGTTGCTTCCTGTCTGTCTCTTCTCTTGCCCCCCGCCCCCCAATTCAGTTTCTTTTCTTCTTTTCCCTATACTCTGGGGACAAGGGCGATTGAAGCATCCCTTCTTCAAACCATTAGAGTCCCTCATCCAATTTTTTTTTCGCTTTTTGGGTCACACCTGGTGATGCACAGGGGTTCCTCCTGGCTCTGCACTCAGGAATTACTCCTGGTGGTGCTCGGGACCATATGGGATGCTGGGAATTGAACCCAGGTCTGCCACGTATAAGGCAAACTCCCTACCCCCTGTGTTATCGCTCCAACTCCTCATTCAGTTATTCTAAATACCACTTGACTTGATCACTTGACATCCCGTTATTCATTGATTTGCTTGAGCGGGCGCCAGTAATGTCTCCATTCGTCCCTGTTACATGTTAGTGTAGCCAATAATACCACATAAACACTATTAAAAAAAAAGAGGGGCTGGAGCAATAGCACAGCAGGTAGGGCGTTTGCCTTGCATGCAGCCGACCTAGGTTCAATTCCCAGCATCTCATATTGTCCCCTGAGCACCGCCAGGAGTAATTCCTGAGTGCACGAACCAGGAGTAACCCCTGTGCATCGCCGGGTGTGACCCAAAAAGCAAAAAAAAAAAAAAATGGGGAGGGCCAGAAAGATAGTAAAGTGGGCAGAGCACTTGCATTGCATAAGGCCGACCTGGATCAATCCCCTGTATTCCATATACCAGGAGTAACTCCTGAGCACAGAGCCAGGAGTAACCCCTGAGACCCAGCAGGTCCGGCTCCCAATCAAAAACAAACAAAAAAGATGGACCAGACTGTGTCTTTGGAGTCCTATGGGAGAAGACTCCAGGGTGAGCTTCATTCTTCCCTGAAGCCCCCAGGAAGCGCCCACAGAGGCAGTGCTCCTTGGTTTCCCGATTTTCCAGTTAACAGCACTCCAGTGCAAGCCTCACTCTGGAACACCAGCACGGGCCGCCTTGAGGATTCCAATGAGAACCGGGGTTCCAAGTCCCCCACCCCGCCGGGCTGCGGCAAGTGTATATTTAGCGCCTTGTGCAGCCTGACCCCGTTGCTTTCTATGACGCATTTGGGTCGCCCCTCTGCCCTTTCCGAGACCTCCAGATCCTCTCCACAGCTAGAGATGCTCCAAACTGCACGTCCTGTGGGCGGGGCCTGCTTCTCTTTGCCGCAGGCCCGGGAGGGATCACTTGTTCCAACGGCTCGGGGGGGCTCACGGGGCTTTCTCTAACGCCGGAGTGCTCCCGCAGACAGAAGAGGACTCACCCGCCCTCCTTGCTCATTTTTTAAAATGTGCCTTTGTAAGGGTGGCCTTTCAAGAACCACTAGAAGACGTGGCCAGCCTGGGGTGCGTTTGATACTCTCTCCCTGATAAGGTCACCAGCAGCTCCGGAGAGGAAAGGCAGGGTATGGTCCCCCTGGGAGAATGACCACATTTGATTCAAGTGGGGGGAAGAGCCTGTGGGTCTTTTCCTGTGTTGGGGGGTGGGGAGGGGGACGGCGCACACACAATGTTCGTTTCCTAAACACGGGATGTGCTGCGTGGCTCGCAGGTCATTTCCCACCATGTCACATCCTTCTGGGTGCAGGCGGCAGGGGCCAGGGCAGGAAATGGCCACTTCTCAGAATGAGACAAGGCTTTCCCAGGGCGGTCATTGGCTCTCTGGGCCTATAAAGCCGCCTCATCCAGAAACAGCCGCAGAGTGCCCTGTCCTGAAGATAGGCCGGACGGTAAGTGGGGTGGCTTTGCTAGGGGGTCTGAGTGGGGGGTGTGGGAAAAACGCCCTTGACCCCAGGAGGCTAGGCTTGGGTCCTCCTTAGATTTCGAGTAACTTTGCCGAAAAGGCCTCTTGACCTGGAAATTTGTCACTGACAAGCTGGATTATTCAGCCTGCAAGAAGGAAAAAAAAAAAGAGATAAGAGTTGCCTGGTTCGCCCCGGCTCCGCTGGGAATTGGTGGAATCTAGAGGCTGTCAGTTTGGATTTGTTTCTTTTCCAGATGGGAACCTCTGCCCTGTCAGCTCAGGGTGCGAATGTCTTAGTTTGGTGTCGCAGGTGCTTTTATGACGTTCCTGATGGAGAGTGCAGAGAAGGTGGGGATGGAGCTAGGATGAAGGATCTAAGATTCTTAGCATGGACTGGGCTTTGTCACCTTCCACTGGCTTCCCTCCTCAGGGAGCTGTGGAAACATCTGCCCACTAAATTTTATTCGACTGCTATTCATTAAAAAAGTCTTCATAATAAGGAAATAGTGTTATCAGTAGTCTTTAGCATAATTTTGTTTTAATTATGCACCCATGGGCATCTGAAAACTGAGTTTTCTGAAGCCCTGACTGAAGAACTTGGGCTGGAAAAAAAAAAGCTCCCCAAGACAAGAGAAGATCCTGGAAGAATAGCAAGTAGAAGAGGAACTTCTAGAAAGATTTATTTTTCACATGTCCTCAACATGGCTTGCTAGTTTTAGGTGAGGTATTTTTCTTTTCCCGTAACAGAGAGGGGGGCAAAATATACTTGCAAAGGCATTAGGACCGACGCCTTCTTAGGGGCAAACTGGCATAAATGACCAGTTGCAAAGCACCTTTCAAACAGCTAAGATGAACTGACATCCTATTTAGCAGGCAGTAAATGAAATTCCTGCTTAACATTTGTGGGAGAGGACAGCCCGCAGCTGTAAGGTCCTGAGAACATGCGTGACTTGGCCCAGAGGGCGGAATGTGACAGATGACTCACTGGAGGACCGTTTCCCCAGGCGTGGCAATCAGGCAATCAGGGCCAACTCCCTGCTGGCCGCTGACGGTGGAGGGGGGAAGGGCCATCAGGAACCAGACTCTGGGCTAACTGTGTGTGTGTGTGTGTGTGTTTTGTGCCTGTATGCACGTTTGTGTATGTGCATGCGTGTGCGTGTGTTTGCATGTGTGTGTGCATGCTTGGTGTACGTGTGTATATGTGCGTGCGTGTATGTGTGCATGCGTGTACATGTGCCGTGTGTGTGCATATGCGTGCGTCTGTGTGCGCGGGTGTGTGTGCACGTGCATGCGTGTTTGCATGTGTGTGTGTGTGTGTGTGTGTGTCTCCCACAGAGCATGGAGCGGCCAGCGAGCCCCGAGGCGCTGCGGCGCTTCCAGGAGCTGCTGTTGGACCGTCGTGGACAGCTGCACGGCCAGGTCCTGCGCCTGCGCGAGGTGGCCCGGCGCCTGGAGCGCCTGCGCAGACGCTCCCTGCTGGCCCACGTGGCGGGCGGCGGCCTGAGCGTGGCGGGCTCGGTGGTGGCCCTTGTGGGCCTGTCGCTCAGCCCCATGACCCTGGGCGCCTCCCTGATGGCCTCGGCCGTGGGGCTGGGGGTGGCCACGGCCGGAGGCGCCGTCACCCTCACCTCCGACCTGTCGCTGGTCTTCTACAACGCGCGGGAGCTGCGGCGGGTGCAGGAGATCGCGGCCAGCTGCCAGGGCCAGATGCGGGAGCTGCTGAGCTGCCTCGAGCTCTTCTGCCGCTGGCAGGGCCGCGGGGACCGCGGGCTGCTGCTGTGCGGGAGGAACGCCGCCGTGGCCCTGTACAACTGCGTCTACTTCATCGTCTTCTGCGGCTCCCGTGGCTTCCTCATCCCCCGGCGGGCCGAGGGGGCCACCAAGGTCAGCCAGGCCGTGCTCAAGGCCAAGATCCAGAAACTGGCCGAGAGCCTGGAGGCGTGCACCGGGCCTCTGGACGAGCTCAGCGTGCAGCTGGAGGCCCGCGTCCAGCTCTGCACCAAGGCCGGTGGCCGCGGCCTCCAGGGCGCCCCCGATCAGCCCAAGGGGCTGTTTTTCTGAGCTCGGCAGAGCCCTTTTCCGCTCCGGATGGAGGCCGGAAGCCGTCCCGTTTGGGATGCTCCAAATCGGCCTTTCCCTCAGGAAAACGGCCTAATTGGGGCAGAAGCTTCGAGCAGATGATGAGACTCTCGCCCTGGCCGCCCCTCCACCCCAGCCTGACACTGCGGGGACACTCACCTCCCGTATCCAGTGGGACGTGTGGCCTGAAAACGCCCCCCGCCCCCCTTTATCAAAACCGTTCCTGGGCACTGCTGCTTAACATTCGCTGGGGACCCGGCTGTGTCACCGTGGTTTCAGCCCATCCTGGAGGGGTTGCAGATGCACGCTCAGGCCCCAGAAACTGAGGTTGTTCCTAACGTTGAAGCCCCTCTTCAGAGTATCTCACTGCAAGGAGCTCCGCCTTCCCCAGCAAATTGGGGTGCCTGAGAGGTGGGCAAGAGGGCCAGAGTCCAGGAAAGTTGCCCCTGGCCCCCAGAACACATCTCCCAGCTTGCGAGCTCACAGGCCCAGCCTGGTGTGGAGGCTACCCTGGCGTCCACCCCATCCTGGAGTCTTCTCCTGTCCAGATCTTAAAGCACCCAGTGGGTGGTCATCAGAGATCCGGAAGGCAGGAGAAACCAAAGCTTTGAGTTTGCTGACCTCAGAGAAGCGACCTCCAGGGCTCTGGATGTGAGCAATTGTTCTTTACTAGGGGGCCAGTTGGCTTCAGGGTCTGCAAATCAGGGATGCCCACAGCTCCCCTGTTGGGAGGCACTAAGGGAGATGAGGAGCCTCCCCCCCTCCCCCCAGGGTGATGCTGCCACAGAGGGTGGCTCTGGCCGAGCAGCGTTCGTGGCACAGGGAGAATTGCCCGAAAGGCTCTCAGCTGCAAGAGGAGAAACTCTGGGATCCCGCATCTCCTGGAGATGCAGAACTTGGGGGTTTGGAAACTGCTGCTGCAGAGGGTACTGCTGATGAAAGTGAGTTTGTATGAAGTTTCATGACCTTGTCAGGGGCTTCAGAATCTCTCTCACAGATGCTCAAAGGGACAGACTCAGAAGAAAAGGCAGCAGCATTCTGTGCAGGGGCTCATTTCTCCCTGCGAGCTTAGAGGGTTGTGACACGATTCGCCCTGTAGAGGGCGGTGTTGCCCACTCATTGGGAGGAACTGGTACAGTACCGAATGTGAACTGCGTGGAAATTCGCCTTTATCACCGTCTCTGAAAACAGCAGTTATATTTTTTTTCTTAATTTATTTTTTAAAAGGTTTAAAAATGTAGTGTTTATTATTATTTGTATTTAATTTTATTTAACCGTTTTAAGAAAATAATGAACACGAGTGTCTGAACAGGACGGATTACTGTGGCTTTCCTGAAGAGGAAGTGGCATTTTTGTGCTAAGGCAGGGGGGCAGGAGCTGGGGACAGCATTGGTCCCCTGGAATTGGTCTCCTTTAGGAGGGCCCCTTTCCCACGGAATAATATCTTGCTTTGCAGCGCTAGGGATTGAACTTGGGGCCTCATGCCTGCAAGGCAAGTGCTCTCTACCACTGAGTCACCTCCTCCAGCGTTTCAGTTGATTCTTTCAAGTAAGGGAGAAGTTGTGAATAGAGATCAGAACCTGTGTTACTGCTTATAAATGACCCTCGGCTCGTGGGGTAGGAAAGAGGCCAGTGTACTTATTCTGTAGGTGCTTTTGCCAGTAGAGAACATTTGACCTGGAAGAGAGACTGATAAGTGCAGGAGGAGACAGCAGAGACCCCTGTGAGGGGAGTATGGAGAGAGGCCTGCTGTCCTCTGTGACCCCATCCCAGGTGGGTGGACAAGCAGTCCTGTCCTGTGTGTGTGTGTGTGTGTGTGTGTGTGTGCGCGCGCGCACGTGTGTAGGGGGTGTGGGTGGGGTTGTCTTGCTTTCACTCGGGGGATGGTAAGAAATTTTTAAGCTGCTTCTTAGAATGTACTTAGAATTTCTTTAATTTTCATTCCTACAACTGAAATGCCAAAAAAAAAAAAAAATCTTGGAACCCCCAGCCCCACCACAGACACAAACGTGGCATATTATTGAATGTTATTGAAGGATTTCGGAGGCTTTCACCATACCCTTCCTGTTCGTTTCCTTCCCGATGAGGGTCAAGTGTCTGAGCGAGTAGGTTCCAGTGCTGGGGCCAGTGGTGCAGCTTTCTAGATCTGTATTTGGGGTCCCATTGCAATGAGTTTTATTACTTCATTTTTCTTGGCGCAGGGCTGGAGCCCAGGGCACACGCTGTCACCCATAGAGCTCCCTCCCTTACCCGGCCGGCCGTTGATCCTGGTCTCTCAACACGTGTCATTTCCAAGGTAACCTTGCATTTTAGATGGGCTCCTGTTGCCTGAAAGGTCCAGCCACCGCCTAGCTATCTTCTCTTCATGCTGAAATCTGAATTCTTCTCTTCCAATGCCTGAACTGCCCCGAGAAGTAATTCAGACACTCTTGGAAGCTGCATCACTGCCCTTTCCTATCCTACAGCTGAGCACTGTAGCACTGTCCTCCTGTTGTTCATCGATTTGCTGAAGCGGGCCCACTAATGTCTCCACTGTGAGACTTGTTGTTACTGTGTTTGGCTTATGGAATACGTCACGGGGAGCTTGCCAGGCTTTGCTATGCGGGCGAGATACTCTCGATAGCTTGCCGGGCTCTCCGAGAGGGCGGAGGAATCGAACCTGGCTCGGCCAGGCTGGGCCGCATGCAAGGCAAATGCCCTACCGCTGTGCTATTGCTCCAGCCCATCCAACAGCTCTTTTGTGTATATCAAAAGGCTGGAATTGGAAGTTATCATTTCAGAGGCTGAGGATGTTGTTAGGTGGTAGGGCACTTGCCTTGCAGGTATGAGGCCCGGGGCTCTACACCCCAGCATTGCAAAAGCAAAACAAAATGAAACCTGCCCCCAAACAAAAACCCCAAACAGGATAAAATGAAGACCGTATTACTTCAATGACCCTCGTTACATCTAAATGTCTATTTTAATACGTTGCACGTAACAGGAATGCAGTAAATGCACTTGAATGAATTAATTCACTAGTTCTTTTCATAGGAGTCTGTTGGTAGCAAATTTTTGATGTGTCTGTTATTTGGTTATAAAGATTGTGCCTGTACAGGATTTAGTCAAGTTTATTTATATGGATTCTAGAGACAAAGGTTAATTTATTTCTTTTTCGTGTGTGGGAACGTGACCAAAGCTTTTCCTAAAGAGCTTCATCCTACAGACTGGAATGGTATGTTGTAAAGGGGAGAGGACGAGGGGTATTGGATTACGCGTGCACTTCAGAAAAATGTTGGAGTTTGAAAAATAAATGTTTGCACTAAAGCTTTAAGTGCTTCTGTTCGTTTCTTGCGTTTGCCGTTGTTTTCAACGCTTTCTTTCACAATAGAGAAGAGTCATTCAGTTCTGCCTTTCAAGCAGTCAATAAAACAACCTTCTGCTCTAGTAAAAAATATCCTTAGCAAATATTCTGGTCCTGTTCACTTTGATGCATTTGCCCTCGGCACTTGTCAGCGGCAAGGGTGTTTATGGGAGAAGAGAGAGGGATGGGGGACAAGCCACCCCCAGTCAGACTGTCACTCAAGCAGTTAACTGCTCGTATACTTCTCAGTTTGCGTCCTGGTGTGGAAAGACAGTGGTGGCAACGGAGATGTTGAGGAAAAGGCCCCACAGAAATGAGTGACACGGTTCAATGCAGCGAATTTTGTTTTATTTATTTATTTTTTTGCTTTTTGGGTCACACCCGGCAATGCACAGAGGTTACTCCTGGCTCATGCACTCAGGAATTACTTCTGGCGGTGCTCGGGGGACCATATGGGATGCTGGGAATCGAACCAGGGTTGGCGAGTGCAAGGCAATCGCTATCGCTCTAGCCTCCTGCACTGAGTTTTGAATCCCACATTCTCCCCACTGGGGAAATAAACTGTCCGATCCTCAGATGTTGTGACTTTTCTGTAATGAGTCACCTAATTGTGTATGACTTAGTGACTTCCAGAGTCAGCTGGTGCTGTCAGCACCGTGATGTTGGACTTGGTTCTTCTTCCTTTCCCTTTCTTGCTCTGCCTGGGGTGGCCTACACTTGACTGCTGTGTCGCAGTGCTTTCTGGGGTGCACACATGTTTACTTGTGGTTCTTGTAAGTACTTGGCTATTGTTCACCAGGCTTTAAAAATTTTTTTTTCTTTCTTTTTGGACCACACCTGGTGAGCAAGTGGTTTAAGTGAAACTCTCGACTCGGTGCTCAGCAACCACTTCCTGGTAGTGGTTGATGGACCAAGTGGTACCAGAATGCAATCTGAGCTTTTGCACCAAAGCCCTTTGAACCATCTCCCCAGCCCTACAGACTTGTGGGCCAGAACTGAAGTTTCTGTGTTTGGATCCGTTGATTTAGTGCTATAGGGTGTGTGTGTGTGTGTGTGTGTGTGTGTGTGTGTGTGTGTGTGTGTGTGATTATGGGCACGAAACTCAGGGCCTAGTGCATGCAAGTCATGCACCACTCCTTTGGCCTATCTCCTAGACCCCAGAGACCATGTACTTTGTCATTGAAGACCCCAAACATCAGTGCCTCTGAGATTTGCACTTTGCTGTGGGGTGGATTAGGGGTCCAGGGAATGGAACCTTTGGCCTCGTGTGCGTGTGCAAGGCAGAATTCTACCGCTAAACTGTGCCTGGGCCCTGGCTGCACGATTTTTTAATGAGGACATTCAGCATCAGACTGTATCAATCAATTTAATTTTAGAAGCAATCAACTCATTTACGGGAATTCTCTTATCAAAAAATTCAACTTCCGGCAGTTTCAAAACCTTTGAATACAATGACAACCTGGGAACCAGCCGGAAGGAAACCTCCAGTGGGCCAAGTTAGCCAGAAAAGACAGAAAGGAAGCGGAAGGACAGCCTCTATTTAAGGCAGGCAGAACTTTCCAGAACTCTCCTGGGAACTTCAGAACGTGAATCAGTCACTGAGCTCCGGCCTGCAGGGCAGACTGGGAAATGTAGTATTTTTAGCCAAGAATGTGCTGCTCCTAATATATCTAGGATTCCATTTGGAAGGAAGGAAAGGAGGGAGGGCATCCGGAAGGGGTTCCAGCAATCCACAGAGGCTGCAGGCGGTCAACTCTCCTGTCCCGGAGCTGGTCTTGCTGACTGAATGTCAATCTTGAACCCCCACCTTAGAGACGTTCATTCCTGGGTCGCCTGTCCCATGCTAAAGATGGTGAAGCCAATAAAAGTACAAGAGAGACAGATAAAGGGAAAACGAGCTGGGAATCCTCTTATCAAAAAATCAAACTTTGTTTGGTACAGCCAGGCCGACACTGGGCCCGTGTCTTAAAGCATCCAGCCAGTCCTATCCAGAGCCTCTGAGCACTTTGTGGGAGAGTCTCGGACTGAGCTGACTTGCTGCCCCTGACAAAGCCCGCTGCAATCTGGAATAGGGCACAGAGACCCCTAAGATCTGCAAACACACCTTCCCACTCAGTGAGTGCTCAAGAGAAGGGCTTGTGGGACTGGTCCCCTTAACACTGGGGACCCTCAGCACCCCCATCCCATATGGCCTTAATATCTCCCGAGAAGGGGACGCTTGCTATGGGAAGCGACCTCACCTGTAGTTTATCGTTCCTTTTATATCCCCCCCAACCTCTCATCCAGACCCTAACCCCTCAGCTGCATGAGTCGGAGGGTCTCCACCCCCAGACTTGTCTCGGCTTCAGCAGTGTACCCCTAGAGGCTCGGCTGCCTCCCTCAGCCAGATCTCTCCCTCTCATGCAGCATTTGTGCGGATCAGGGTGTTGAGTTACTCACACAGCAGAACCAGGAGGAGCTTCCTACCCACTTGCGCTCTATACACAGGAAGGCAGTGACGCCTGAGAGCTTTTTGGGGACATAGAGCTTTGTCCCGGCTTGCCACTTGCAGACATTCGTTCTTCCATTCTCAATACGGTGCTGTATGTATGTCGCTGAAGTACAACACTCTCCTCAGAGCGTGAACAAAAATTTTCCACAAAACATCTAGAATCCAAGCTTAGAAAATAAGTCTGGGGGGGAGGGGCTGAAGAGATAGCACAGTGGGTAGGGCGTTTGCATTGCACGTGGCCGACCCAGGTTCGATTCCCAGCATCCTATATGGTCCCCTGAGCACTGCCAGGAGTAATTCCTGAGTGCAGAGCCAGGAGTAACCCCTGTGCATCGCCGGGTGTGACCCAAAAAGCAAAAAAAAAAAAAAAGTCTGGGATGAGGCTGGAGTACAGTGGGTAGGGTGCTTGCCTGGCACAAAGCTGACCTGGGTTAAATTTCTAGCACCCCATATGGTCCCCTGGGCTCTGCTAGGGGGAATCCCTGAATGCAGAGCCAGGAGTAAGCCCTGAGCACTGCCGGGTGTGGCCCTCAAGCAAAAACAACAACAAAAAGAAAATAAGTCTCGCCGCAGAGAGATAGTGCAGTGGGTAAGGCGTTTTCCTTGAATGTGGCCAACATGGGTTTGATTCGGGCACCACAAAGTGGTGGGGGACTCCCCGCCAGGAGTGACCCCCGAGCAGAGCCAGGAGAAAGCCCTGAGCACCACTGAGAGTGACCCCCCCAACCAAAAAATAAAATGATGAATGGTTTATTATGTAGTGGTAGGGAGACCCCGAGAACAGCTTCTATTTGCAAGTGAGGCTGGAAGCTTGTCTCACCCTCATCATTTCGTGGCGGCATCAGGACCTGGAGGGCCAAAGGATTTCACACACACACACACACACACACACACACACACACACACACACACCCCTCCATTTCTAGTCATCTGTTTCCTTAAAAGTTGTGAATGAGGGGCTGGAGCAATAGCACAGCGGGTACGGCGTTTGCCTTGGACGCAGCCGACCTAGGTTCGATTCCCAGCATCCCATATGGTCCCCTGAGCACCGCCAGGAGTAATTCCTGAATGCAGAGACAGGAATGACCCCTGAGCATCGCAGGCTGTGACCCAAAAAGCAAAAAAAAAAAAAAAGTTGTGAACGCATTAAGAAAACCACATGTCACATATGTTGATTTAAATGATGAATCCCTAAAACTGATATCATCAATGTTTTAATTTATATTTCAATTTGAGTAAAATAAAAGAATTTTTCTTCAAAAAAAAAAAAAGAAAACCACGTGTCTGAGGACGATAAGACAGTTAAGACGGGCTGGAGTGATAGCACAGTGGGTGGGGCATTTGCCTTGCACGAGGCAGACCCGCATCGATTCCCAGCATCCCATCTTGTCCCCTGAGCACTGTCAGGAGTAATTCCTGAGTGCAGAGCCAGGAGTAAACCCTGAGCATTGCCAGGTGTGACCCCAAAAACAAAACAAACAACAATAAAGACAGCTAGGAAACCAGAACTGAGTCTGCACGGCCTTTCGTAACCCTCCCCTGGAAGCCCTTGCCTCTGACTTTCCACCCACAAATGACAGCATAGCATTAGATTTTCTGCTTGTGTCGGCTTCAGAGTGAACCCATCCTCCTAAATGTGAATCATATTTCGTTCATCATTGTCTGTTTCACTCAGTCAATCATCAGATTTTTCCAAGTGTTAGAACATAAAATATCTCTTGGTCAGAAGACCCAAGGATGGTTGATGGTAGACCAAGGGGCTTTTTGAAAATTATTTTTAATTTGTTGGTTTTTGGGCCATACCCGGCAATACTCAGATGTTACTCCTCGCTCTGCACTCAGGAATTATTACTCCAGGCAGTGCCCGAGGGACCAAATGGGATGCCAGGGATCAAACCTGGGTCAGCTACGTGCAAGGCAAATGCCCTACCTGCTGTATTACCGCTTTGGCCCCTAGACCAAGAGGTTCTGGCTCAAGGTCTAGGGTCCAACAGGCAGGTGTGATAGAGAAACTGGCTTTGCTGCCCTCCCCAGCCACCCCAGTCTCTGCCTCCGGGGAGCCGCCACCAACAGTCCAGTCATATGACCTCACTCCCAGTTCAGTTGGTCCCTGTTTCCCACCGGGTGCAGAAACTCCCCGTGATGTATAGAATTGGTAAGTAAACAGGCTTGGGGTACTGACTCAGGCCCGGAACACTCACAGGACACTCAGATGCAAGTCACTGGCCAACTGTTCTCTGCATGCCTGTGTGATGTTGAGCACCGGGCACCGCCCCATAGAAACCAAACAGGGAGGCCAGGGAGGCACCTTTTGGATGGAAGTGATGGAAGATGGGGAGTAGAGGGGACCAATCCATCTTGGAAACTGAGTTAATGGGAAGGGTTGAGGGACGGAAGAGAAACGATGAAAAGGTAGAGAGAAGCAAATGGCAGGATGAAGCGTGGAGACCAAGGTTGAAATGTCCAGTGGCCGATAAGG